AAAAAAAAAAGATTGACAGCCTCGGAAACCCTCCACAGGTGGCTCTGACTCAGAACGGACCCGATGGCAGTGGGTCGGGTGGGAGTGCACAACTAGGGGGCCTGCTGGTGCAGCGGTTAAGCGCTCAGCTGCTAAGCGAGCGGTCTGGTGACTGACGCAGCTCCGCAGGAGACAAGATTCACTCAACAGCAGTGGGCTGGGTTTGGGTTAGAGATGCCAAAAAACCCAACCACGCTCATGGCCACCGGGTGGTTGCCAACTCATAGTGACCCTAAAGGACAGGGTAGGATTGCCTTTGTGGGGTTCTGAGACCGGAATTGGAGCAGACAGCCTCGTCTTTTTCTCAAGGGGCAGCTGGTGGTTTCGAACGGCTGACCTTGTGCTTGGCAGCCCACGGGGTCTCCCACCACCCCACCAGGGCTCCCTGGGTCATATCAGACAGTCGTTCTCTCCTCGTGGGTCTCCCTGACTTGGCAGCCAGCTCTACTGGGTCAGTCCCGTCTCACTGCGGCCGGCCCTGGAGGGTGGAGGAGAAGTGCTCTGTGGGGTTTCCAGGACCACCAGTCTTTGCGAGAGCAGACAGCCTCATCTTTCTCCCGGAGAGCGGCTGGTGGGTTTGAACCATAGACCAATCGCTAACCCATTGCACCACCGGGGTCCTTGGCCCCCACTCAGTACACAGTAAACATTTGCTGAACGAAGGAGGAGTGCACAGTGCGGATTGTTACCGCGATCACCTCTGTGTGGCTGTGGGACGCTCCTCCCGGGGGACCCTTGTACTAGGCTCTTCCAGCGTTTGCGTCTCATTCTCTTGGTTGTAAGGAGGCAGGGCCCGAGGGGGGTCCCAGGTGCAATCAGTGTGTTTGAATTCATGACCGAACCGTTTCCTCCTTCACCCACAGGTGGCAAATGTAGACGGCTGTCCCGCGGGTGCCGGAATCCTCGCAGATGAGCCCGTCCTAAGTGAGGAGGCGGGGCCTGAAAGCTTAGTGGGCATCCCGACCCCGAGCCACACCTCCGTCAGCTCTCCATGCCCGGCCATCTTGCTCCTTTCCTGGAGCCTCCAGAGCGGTCACAGAAGAAGACACAGATGGAGCCAGAACTTGAACTGGTGTCCCCAAGTCCCCCACCTACCCAGATCTGCTCTTGAAGGTTTTGCTCCCAAGTTACCCATTCTGTTCAGACCCAAAGTAAAGCCTTGTGGCCCCTGCCTGGGTGTCTCGGTCCCTTGTGAAAGGAGGGTGGGAGGAAGCGACATAAAGTGAGGCTCCACAGACTCTAAGGACAAGGCAGGGTGAGGCCGGCGGGGACTGGGGGTGATGCGGGAGGCTCACTGACCCCTCTAGCCAGTGAGTGAGTCAAGACTGGTTTCCGGCTGTGGGCAGTTTGAGACCCCATGCCCAGTGCTGGCTCCCCCTAACAGCAGTATGAGTAGAGACCTCTGGCCCATGCCATACCCCATTCTGTTCCCACCTGGTTCCTCCCACGTGGCACGAGTCTTCACGCACTGCAGTACAGACGTCCCAGCATGTACTTGCAAGCTCACCCATAAAGGACCGCCTCCAGGCCACCCTCAGCTTAGGGCTGTGCCCACAGGAAGGCCACTCAAGCCCGGGGCGGGGATCAGAGCCACCGAGGCAGAGAGGTCTGGGGCTGCAGGGACTTGGAGTATGTCGAGAAGGGACGTGGCTTCTTTCTGAAGCCTTTGGACTCGAGCCGGTGGGAGGGGGTGCAGGCAGAGCAGGGCCTCTGGAGCCCTGAGCTCAGGGCAGGGGCCTTCTGCTCAGGTTTAAGGACCCTGCCAAAGGAAAGAGACACGATCGTGCCCACTGGGGGCTGCCCAACAGCGCTTCACAACCCTCAGGTCCCAGTGCGTGGTGGGCGCTGCCAAGACAGAAAGAAAAGAAAATGGTGGAATGAGGTCAAAGTAGAAAACATCATCAGAGTATATTGCAATGATAACACATATGTAAATATATGATATTTACACAGATCACATGTTCATATAGAACATATTCACATGTATTATATTTATAATGTATAAATTTATTTACTTATAACACATGTAAATTATACATATATATATATATACACATGCATATATCTTTGACCAAATTTTCTGCAATAGAATTTATTCCAATTCATAGCAAACCTATAGACAGAGTAGAACTGCCTCTATGGGTCTTGGGGGCTGTGAATTTTTACAAGGACAGAAAGCATCAAGTGTCTCCCAAAGAGCAGTTGGTGTGTTTGAACAGCCAACGTTGTGGTTACAACCTAATGTAACACACGATGCCACCTACACATCTACATGCAATGTAGATGTTCCTACACTCATACGTGCAATATGGGATATGCATATTCTATATTTATGTAGATGTATGGATATACATGGAGGGGGGCTACTAAATTATTTTATGATTGGTTTATTTACATATTATGTTGTCACCTATCAAATGTCAAGCCAGTCACAAAAGAACAGAGACACCGACATATAAATAGACACACATACTCATACATCTAGAATGTGCTGTACTTATTGCATCATTATTCAAATATTTCTGACTTACAAAAACTATTTTCATAAGGTTCAACCTAGTGATATGTTTCATGGGTGATAGAAAATGTATCACACTGAGGATCTTTAAAAAAAAATAATGGGGAGTGTTGCAGGGAGAGCGTATGCGGGAAGAGACGTTGTCTCTGAAAACAGAGCATGCTGGCAAGCACGGTCAGCCCAGCTGGGCAGTCACACCAGGGCGCAGAGCATATTTCTAGGATAATATTCCTCAAACTGCAGTCATCACACATCCTTGTTCCAAGAGCTACGGTCTTTGATCCTTTTTGTGTGAGACTTTTTTCACAGATCAGCTTGATTTTAAGCTTAGGTAAATTCACTTAAAGTTTAAGTAACCAGACATGGAAAACCAGTATTGCTTGAGATAAATAAATAGAAGGCAGCCATCGGATAAACCCAGTGAAAACAAGAAAATGTTACACGGCGTCCTAGCTGGATACTGGGCCGCGGGTTCTTGAAGGCCTTTGAATATTTAGGGTGTGAATGTCATCCTATCGCTCAGAGACTTGCTCACTCATGTAGCCTGATGGATTAAGATATTCAAAAGGTTCCGTACTTGCTCATGATGAGATTCAATGGGACTTAGTGTTGTCTGGGTCTTAAAACCACCTTACACATCACCACTGGTGGCATAGTGGTTATATGTTGGGCTACTAGTTGCAAGGTCAGCAGTTCAAAATCACCAGCTGCTCCTTGGGAGAAAGACATGACTTTCTATTCCTGTAGAGAATTTCCAGTCTCGGGAATTCACAGGGGCAGTTCTACCCTGTCCTGTAGGGTCGCTGTGAGTCGGCATCAACTCGATGGCAGTGAGATCTAGTGACTGAGGTTTAGGTAAATACTGGATGGTAGTTGAGGGCAGAGCAAATCCTCTGCATAGATGATCGGTGCATTGGCGTTCGGTGTTTCCACTTCCCCCTTGTTCCATGTCTTGTCAGAGGAAGCCAGCCTCTAACAACTGAGGGGCCCATAGGTGCAATTGTACAGCGATAATATCTAAAGATTGTAGTAAAGTCACAGAGGATAGGAAAGCTAGGAGGGAGAATAAAATAAAGGAGTCAGACACATTTTATGGTAGCATCCTCACCTCAGCCCCTCTTGGTGGTCCACGTGGAGGTGGGAGAAGAGAGGAGGAGAGGGGAGTCTTCACTCTCTTGGGACATTCATAGGTGGCCATAGACATGCGTATTCAGAAGTTACATGCATCATAAGGTGGGTGGCAACTGCATTAAGGTCCCTGAGTTCACAGGTGAGGAAACCCAATACCCGCATTGGGGGGAGGCCTGAGGCGGGCTGGGTGACACAGTGGGAGGAGATAGCAAAAGACTGGCTGCTTCTGCAGGGAGATACAATCCACCACCTGCTCACTTTAAGGCAGCACAGCTGTTAGGGGGGAATCTGTGGGAATGCTATTTAAAGCAGGATCATGTTCTAGGGCTTTAACTTACCAAAGTGGTGGTTTTCCTACTGTGGAATACTAGCTTTCCAGATTCCCTCTGGCATAAGTTAGTCCTCGCCATACTTCCCCCACTGTTCCATGCAGCAGAGACAGAAAGCAAGCGCTGCGTTTCCCAGACGCCCTCTGACATGGTCGTCCGGTGTGGACTCGGCTCTCTCATTCAGAGGCTCTGGTATGAGATTTGGATGGTCAACCTTCGACTAAACTGGCTGTTTTCTGATGACCAGGAATTCGTTACCATCACTTTAGAAAATTGTTTGACAAGGGTCTTAAAAAGGTACATGACCCAGCAATCCCATCTTAAATATTTGCCCAAGAGAAATCAAACCGTGTCTCCACAGAGACATAACTGTTTATTGTAGCACTACTTTAGTCGCCTAAAAACTGGAAGCAAGCCAAGAGTCCCTGGGCAGATGAGCGGCTACAAAAGGGTGGTCCTTGCATACCCTGACGTACTCCTCGACAATGAAGGAAGACCCCCGATGCAGACAACGTAGACGGGGTTAGGGTTGGGGAATACATTCCGAAGTGGCTGGAGGGAACTTTCTGGGTGGATCAAACGTTCAATCTCTTGCTAGTGGTGTGTGGTAGATTGACACGGGAGTAAGTATTGCATTTCAGATATGTGGCCTTTACGACATATAAACTACACTGCAATACGAAACAGGACAACATAGACAGCCACACATCTGTCTGCGAATAAGTACAGCCAGACGTTCTTTCCAAGTGAGGACGGGGAGACTTGGTCTCACGGACGTTGGACAGGTTGTCGGGAGAGACCAGTCCCTGGAAAAGGCCATCGTGCTGGGTAAAATGGACGGGCACCACCAGAGAGGAAGACCCCTGACAAGGCAGATGGGCACAGTGGCGGCACTCTGCGTTCAAACATACCAGTTGTGAAGACGGCGCAGGACCGGGCAGCGTTTGCCTCTGTCATGCTCAGAGTGGCCAGGAGTTGGGACTGACTTGGGCACCAAGGAACCGTTAGGGAGAAGGTCAGCCGCGGCATTCCGCTCCTGACCCTTCAGGGCCTCGAGAGTTACAATCTCAGAAACCCACGGGACAGTTCTTCTCAGTCCTCCTGGTCGGATCAACTCGATGGCAGGGAGTGGAGTGAGAACAATCGTTAGGTCCTGAGGGGTGATGACTGACTTCCTGATCCTTGGGTCTCACGGCAACGCGTGACCTTGACATGGACACATGTAGGAGAGCCTCCTGGTTGGACGGAGAGAGAAGCTCTCCCGCGAGTGAACTTGGGTGCCTTCTGGAAACGATATGCCGAGTCTCGGCCCACTCCACTAGTCTTTCCAAAGAACTTGACCGCCCCCGTCAACTCTTTCCTTTGAAAAATCATTGCTCATGAAGACTCTCCAGAGCTGAGTGTGTTTCTCACTCACGTTCTTTGTGGGTCGTGTGGGAGTTCTGCTGGGGGCTAAGCGGATGAACAGCCGCTAGCAGAAACACTTCTGGACACGGTGACAGAAAGGTGAGCAGGGTGAGACACACCTGTTCACACACCTGCTATCACAGAGAGAAACCCATATAACTTCTGCTCACATGTCATTGACCGAAAACGAGCCACGTGGTCACATTGGCGTTCACTAAGGTGGGCTAGTCCATTCCTTCTGTGTGGGGTCCAGCCCCACAGCCGGATGGGTCCTATGGGGGTGGTTGTGCGATGGAGGGGCACATTAAAGAGATGAGGGGCAAGGCAGGCAAGGGCTCACCTCTTCTGATGGAGACCCGAACGAGAATGAGACTGTGCGTCATTCTCTCACGGACTTATACAATCTCAGGCAAGCAAGCCCCAGTAAGCACAGATGTAACAGGAAGGGGCTGTACAAGAGGCAGACATATAACAGGAGGGGGACGAGCTAGGGGTACACACGCAACAGGAAGGGGAGGTACTAGAGGCATCCATGTGACAGGAAGGCACATACGTAACAAGATGGGCGGGCTCTAGAGTCAAGATGGCGGCATATTCTTGGTCTTCTCTGAGTTGGCTTGACCTTCGGAGTCTTTGAACTCTTCTCCAGGGGAACAATCTTTGATTCCTTATCAGAAGGGAGTGGGCTGTACTTAGGGTTAGATGGTCTGATGCTTTTGATGGCAGATGACCTGTAGGCTGATAGCCTTTGAGCAGTTGACCTTCAAGAGTATATAGGTGTGCTGG